TGTGCTATTTCAGTTGGTAACTGCGTGGCCATGCTACGCTGTACCCAAACAGTATGTATGTCCTTTTTCACACAAATAGAGCTTTATTTTGGCCGTATTTGATCACAACTGTGTTTTTATTGTTTGTGATATAAATTAAATGAATAAACTTTTGAAAAAAAAAAAAAACTATATTGTCTACTTTCTGTTATAAAAAATATCCAATAAACTCAAAATTAGTCATAAATGTAGGCCGAAATGTATTCTGCTACATGTCTTTGGTAAAATAAAAAATCCTAATACGTGTATATTAATTGGTTTGTGTGAAAGTTATAGAGCCTACAAACTATAACTGCATGTCTCATTAACCTGTCATCAAAAAATCATCACCTTTGTGTCCCCTATGTGATGAAAAAAAAAAAAGTTAAAAAAAATGTTTTCTTTGCAAAAAAATAAAGTTTCACCCAAGCGCATAAAATCCTCACCCCCAAAAAAATATTTTTAGCCCCCCCACCCACATATACGCATGTATGAGTGGAAATGCATATGTCGGGGCACCTACATGTGAAAAGTCGATTGTGATACGTTACATATTGCTGTGCACGCCGGAGTGAGAGCAATAATTCTAGCACAAGACCTCCTCCATAACACTAAACTGACAACCTATAGAGGCTTTTGAAGCATTGTCTATAGAAAATACAGGGTACTGAAGTTTGACACAATTTCATAGGCGCACACAAATTTAAGGTTTGGCATGTTTGGTATCTATTTACTCAGTACAACCTCATCATTTATATGTTATCAAAAATGTGGATCATTTACTGTGTTTGCTTGCCCTAAAATTCACTTTAGTGTGATTTATTACTGAAATTTTGCAATATTTTGTAATATTGTGTGACATAAAAGACTGCAACTACCATTGTTTTATTCTTTAGGGTGTCTGCTTTCAGAAAAGATATAATGTTTGTTTAGTAGCGTTTTAGTTTGTTATTATTATACAGGATTTATATAGTGCCAACAGTTTGCTCAGCGTTTTAGTTTAGAAGCATTAGCATTTTATTACCATTTGTACAGGACATGTAGGAAAAGAAAAAGCTAGAAAAAAAACTGTTAGGAGCATTTTAGTAGCATTTAGCATTTTTTTCTGTTGGAAAACATTCCAAAAAAACTCTACAAAAACATTTTTTTTTCTGCTCCTAGACGTTGAAGCTCAAAAAACGCTAATAGCCTAAAGTAGTGTGCATGGACATATAGGGTAACACTATTTAGCATTTAGGAGCAGAAATAATTGAATACTGACGTGATACTTTTTTTATTTGCACTAACATACAATTTTGAGGACAAGCCTTCGGGGTATGTCCCCTTCTTCAAGGTCCAGGCAGTACCTCAAGGAGCAGAAAAAAATGCCAATAACAGCTTCTAGGCGCTTAAAAAATAGTCTGCATAGAACCTTACTGTAAAAGACCTGCCTGTGTGTACAAGCCCTGCACTAATCTCACCTTATGCCAGTGCTTCACAAATAGTGGGGCACGCCCCGGCTCCGTCAAGGGGGGCGCGTTTGACCTCGGGGAACATACCGTATTTTCCGGCCGCCCCCCCCCTTCTGACAGAAGGGAGACTAAGTACAGGGGTGGGCAGAGGGCTGCTGTCTCTTACCTGGCTCCCACGATGATCCATCCAGGAAGCGCTGCTCCTTCCGTCACTCCGGCCACTCCCTCACTCCTGCCGCTCGGCTCCGCCTCCTCACCGGTGATTGGCCGCCAGAACTGTAGCTCAGTAAAGGTACACAGGCGGCCAATCACGGGCGAGGAGGCGGAGCCGAGCGGACCCGCGAAAATCGAGTGAGGGAAAAGCCGGTAAGTGTGCAGTGCAGAGGTGCTGCTGCAACCACATATGCTGGCTGCAGCAGCACCATACTGCAACAGGGGTCAGCATGTGTCATTTACAGTCGCACGGGGGGCGCAAAATGTTTTCTTCTTCCTAGGGGGGGCATGACAGAAAATAATTGAGAAGCACTGCCTTATGCAGTTTGTCAGCAGCACTCCCTATGCTTTTCCTATCACAGATAAAGCACATTGTCAATATGGTTGCCATGAGCTTACCCTTTTGTAGAGAGCGGGCTAGCTTATCTGAAAGCCCCTTTATTTACCCTTAAAAGCCATCTGACAGGAGTTCAAGGGCCAGGTGAAGCATAATGATTACAAAAAATTCACTCTGGTGAGTTTCCACTTTAATTCACCAGATCCATGAATTTCAAACCCTGGATCTGTTGCAAACCCATGGCAAACCAGAACATCATCCCTACATCAAAGACTGCTTTTTTTGCTAGGATAGAAATAAAGAAGCTGCTGTAACCCTAAATATACCCAGGTTTCTCATCAAATTGAATAAATATTTGCCTTGTTTCATTATCACAATACATCTAGCGCTATTTAAACAATACAAAATTGTTATTACAGTTTCAGAATATTTTAGCCTGGCTTTATTACACATTCTCTCTTTTGACAGTTGATGCAATTTGTGATTGCCAATTGTATTAGAGCAATAGAAAAGAAAAAGAGAAAACAATGTGATAATGAAATGACTGTGACTGTATCATAATCATTACCGATGGCTGCCAGCAACTGTCCATCATTGCATTAGAAAAATATAAAAGCTATTTTGATATTTTCAGAGAGAGTTATAATAAAACTCACAAGTAGCAGCAGATTTATGCAAGTAAAATTAAAGCCAACAATCTGAAGTTTAACTACCATGCATTTTGGCTGGGCTTTTTTATAATAATAACAGGTAATGAGCTGCAAAATGACAACTGATAATAAAATGTGGCACTAGGCATCTTTTAATGTTTCACAGGCTCCAGGTATTTATTAGATAGTGACTTCTAATTATACACGTTAAAATGAAAGAATGCATCGTATCCTTGCACCTATCTATGTTAGGTTTTACTGTTTGCTTTAGTGAATACACTTGTGTTTGTGCTGTATTGGTATGGCATTTTTCTTCCAGTAAAGAGTACATATCCCTTAAATATTAAAGTATATTGGTTTACTGAAACAGTCTCCAAACTTTTCAGTATGAAGGCCACGTTGTACATTTTACAAATATTTACTGACTGAAAAAAAATCAGTTTGATAAATTTTAAGTTAAATTTAAATGAATAAATATTTTTACTTGAAGTTATTTTTTTTAATCATCATGATATGATTTAGAACAGCAGAAAAAAAATTAGATCAAACAAAGCAATTAAATTTCAAATAAACCTGAGCCCATCAGAGTCCCCCCTTTCATCAGAGAGATGAATAAACTGTTTCAGATGGCCAAATTAGGCTTGCAGGATGTAGGTTGAAGACCCCTGGTTAGGGTCGGTGCTTCCAGTAGGCAAGCTAGGCAGCCAGCTAGGGCACACTGCCACCTAAGGGTGCCTAGGCACAGCACAGTCCGGCACTCTCTCTGTGTGGGGTGCCCCACGTCATGAATGAGCCTTCAGCTGAGCGGAGGGGCAGCAGAGGGGAGGAAGAAAGGACAGAGGAAGATGTCGGGTGTCTGGGGTCAGTGTAGCAGCTGAGCTACTGCGCCTTCGAGTGTTTCTCTCAGACTCAGTCCCTTACTGCAAGTCGGATGGTGGCTGCCAGGGGCGGACTGACCATTTGAGCACTCAGGCACTGCCCGAGGGCCCGGGGTCAGTAGGGGGCCCCATAAAATGCCCCTGGTACATTTTTATAGGCTTTTTTGTGTGTGCTTTGAGTGTGGGCAAGGACACAGGGGCCCCATGGTCCCCTATTGCCCCGGGGCCCCATGAGTTGTCAGTCCGTGCCTGGTGGCTGCTAATCACTATGGAGTTCTAACCCTTCTCTTCCCATTCATCAGTGGAAGCTGAACCACGTCTACGGAGGAAGGTAATATCTGACTCTGATTTCTCATGTCTGTGTGAGTGTGACCCGGCCATCCATCCATCACATGTGAAATTTATCAGTGAGTGATGACATTATCATGATCCCACAGCCTGCTCTTCTAGTGCCTGCTGATCTGTGTCAGTGTTGGTGGTGTGTTGTGTCGGATCTGTCACTGTGTGAGATCACTCAGTTCAGGTGTTCTCTGTGCGTGTGTGTGTGTGTGTGTGTGGTGGGCTGGGCTGCCTGCTGTCACAGCATTTTATCTCCCCCCCTGTCAGAGTGTGGATCCATCATCCTCCACTCACTGCAACTGTCACCCTGCCACTGCCAGTCACAGATACAGTCCATCTGTGACACTGATTTTGCCCTCCTGAGGATTTACCCCCCTTCCTGATCAGACCATTTTTTGCTTTAAGGCGCTGCGTTATTATAACTGACAATTGCACGGTCATGCAACGCTGCACCCGAAATGAAATTTATGTTCTTTTTTTCCCACAAATTGAGCTTTCTTTCGGTGGTATTTGATCGCATGTGCGGTTTTTATTTTTGACTATAAAAAAAAGACCGACAATTTACAGAAAAAAAACAATTTTTTTACTTTCTGCTATTCAACATGTCCAGTAAAAAAATTGAAAATATAAAATTTCTTCATAAATTTAGGCCAAAATGTATTCTGCTCTATGTCTTTCCTAAAAAAAAATCCCAATACGTGTAAATGAACTGGTTTACATGAAAGTTTTAGCATTTCCAAATGGCGTTATAGATACTGGAATTGTTTCAATTTTATTTTTACTAGCAATGGTGGCGATCAGCGACTTATAGCGGGACTGCGGGACTGTGGTGGGCATTCCGACACTGGCGGGAACTGACTTGGTGTCACTGACATCCCCAGTGACACCAATACAGTGATCAGTGCTAAAAAAATCACTGACACTGTACTAATGGCACTGGGCAGGAGGGAGTTAACATGTGGGGCATTCAAAGGGAATGTGTGTTAGGGAGTGTTTTTATTGTGTACTGTAAGCTGTTTTACTAAGCAGAAATGCTGCTTTCTAAGGAAAGGGGTTAACAGAAAGGGGTTAACATGAGGGTCAATCAAAGGGTTAACTGTGTTCTGTTTCACAGTAAGCTTGTGTGTGTGTTTCACTGTAATCACATTACTTTGGATGGCTGTGCTGTGCAGAGCCATCCAAAGCAGTGTTCACATGCTGACTGGTAGGAGAACTGTATTGTTTACATACAGTTCTCCTCCCCGTCGGAGATGCTTGATAACCACCGGCCTGGACCCAATGACTGACAGCCTTGGCCGCGAATGGCAGCGTGAATAGATATCCATGTGAAAGAATTTAGCTTTAACCTCCCTAGCAGTATGATTATATCAATATTTCTGTGCTCAATACGGTACATTTTATTGCATGGAAATATACCGTTTTTATATTGTAGGCCTGTAATTTTTAGGAATAACTGTCCGAACAAGAGTCTCATAAACATCCTGGGTATGATAAAATTTGAAACACAAAATCATAAATTATAATATAATAAATAATCATAAAACATAATAATAAATTTAATTCAATAATATAATCAAAAAACCAAAATTTTAAATAGAGCGCCAGTTCGCACATCACTGAGCTTAGTCGCAAAATCGTTTTCAGTGTCTGATGACGAATTTCCCCACAAATCATTATCACTTAATTCTGCAAGTGGTTCTGATTTACTATCGCTGTTCTCTAGCTGGTCTAAAACCGCTTTTGACCTAAAGGGACGCTTTTTGGACGCCATGGACATTTCTCAGTTTCCAGGCAGAAAGAACAGTAAAAATGCAAGCAGGGCGCAGGACAGAGCACTAGGGACAAAATGTATGTGAAATGCTTTGATACAGTAATGTTTTACTATGTGATTTTAGTGTATTGAGTGAATGTCACTTTTTAAAATTTTTAAATTTCCCGCCGGTTCCAGCCCCCATACATCCCGTGCGTCCCGACACTCACAGGGACCGGAACACAGTATTGGCCGGAGGAGATGGCCGGGGACGCTGCAGGGGGGACATTGCGGGAGCGCAGGACAAGGTAAGTGAAACAGGGATCACAGAGCAACGCTGCAGGGTAATTCTGAGTGTAGCTCGGGGTTACCACTTTTGGCACTGATAATTAACCCCGAGCTACACTTGGGAATACCGCCAGGGAGGTTAAAGTGGCTGTAAAGGCTGAATTTTACCTTCATGCGTTCAATGCATGAAGGTAAAAAACCTTCTGTGTGCAGCTCCCCCCCCCAGCCCCCCCTAATACTTACCTGAGTCTGATCTGGATCCAGCGATGTGCACAAGAGCATCGGCTCTCCTGACTTTCTCTCCTCATTGGCTTAGACACAGCAGCAGAAGGCGTTGGCTGTCAATCACAGCCAGTGAGAGGGAACGGGGGCGGGGCTGAGCCCTGCCTTGTGTGTCAATGGAAACACAGACCGTGACTTGGGAGCGAGCATGCACAAATGCTCCTAAAGCAACTGGCTTGCTCTAGCACTAGTGGGGGGGGGGGGGGGCAGAAGCACTGGCAGGAAACCTGAGATGAGGAAGATCGGGGCTGCTCTGTGCAAAACCTGTTTATTATTTTTAAAAAGAAAAACGAATCCTTTAAGATCACTTTAAAGTAAACAACTTTCTCAGTGTATTAGACTTTTTAAAAAATCTTGTTTCTACATAGGTACACATGGCAGATGATCACATGTACAGGCTCTGATTTTGCTAATCCCCTTGTTTTATAGTAACTCTACCAGTCAAGTTTAGTCTGATTGAAAACAATAATCTTTTTGCTCTACTGTACTCTTGTGAAAACATCTGCAATGCTCCTCATTGCCAGAGACTTTGTGATCTTTACCTTAGACAGATGCAGTTTAGAGTAGCTTTTGTTTTATTCATATAATAGAAAATGTATTTTTTTAACTAAAAGAAATAATGTGATTTAGGCTGGCCATACACTATACCATTTTCTTGAGATTTTTGCTTTAGATTGACCAAAAATCATATAATATGAAGTTAAACATAAACAACACTTTAAATTGTATTTATTTAGGCAGGCCCTTGCACTACATAGTTAAAGGTAAATCTAAAGGAAATTGGACAGAAATTTGAAAGAAAACTGTATAGTGTATGGCCAGCCTTAATCATGGTGATGTCGTTCTGATTCATGTGAAGCGCAAGTATGATTTAACATCATTTAAAGGAGAAGCACACCTTTAAAACACCATAGCTGTGTCATTAATTATTTTATGCAGTTCTAAATATCAGACCCTGTGTAAGGCTGGCCATACACTTTAAAATTTTCTTACAATTTTCTGTCCAATTTCTGCTCAATTTCCCTCAGATTTACCTTCAACTATGTAGTGCAGGGCCCGCCTAATTGGATACAATTGAAAGTGTTGTTTCAGTTTGACCTCGTATTATATGGCTTTTGGTAAATCTAAAGTAAAATTCTCAAGAAAATTGTATAATGTATGGTCAGCCTTATTGAGCAGATCCAGACCGTTCAGCCAACAAGTTCCATCCCGTTCTCCTCTGTGTAGTTAATCTTAATAGTTACAACTTGGATTTTGGTCTTATTACAAACCATCTCCCAGTAATTCGAATGGTATCTCTATGCTGCGCTAAGCCACAACCTCTGTTACCCTGTACTCTGTAAAATGTGTAAAACCTAATAAAAATCTATTGAACCATAAATATCATCCCTGCTCGCTTGCATGTAATTTTTTGTAAACCAAATGCTTAATTTACACCTTGATATTTGTCGGAACAATATAGTAGTACAACAATTTTGTTGTACAAGAGCCTGTCTAAAGCTGGCCATACATTATACAATTTTCTTGAGAATTTTCCTTTAGATTTACCAAAAACCATATAATATGAGGTCAAACTTAAACAACACTTTCAATTGTATCCAATTAGGCAGGCCCTTGCACTACATAGTTGAAGGTGATTTTAAAGGAAATTGGGCAGAAATTGGACAGAAAATTGTATAGTGTATGGCCAGCCTAAGGCAAGCCATAGATGGTGCGATTTTCTTTCCTGCAGGAGGTTGGGGGGGGGGGGGGGGGGGTTGGGTGTGTTGCGGGGGAAGCCATCCCTGCTGGGAGAAGACAGTGCTTATTGCTATTGGCTACAGCCATTAGTGATAATCGCATGTAAAATCCAGCAGGCTGGTCGATCGATCAACTTGGGTACATTCAGCCTGCCCATACATGGTTGGAATCTTGGACAGTTCCTGCTGAACCATCTGTGGCCGGCTTTACTAATGACAAATTGGGTGTAAAACTTATACTGTCTGCAGCAACATTGGTAGCGCTAAGGGCCCATTCATATTCCAGCGCAATAAACTGGAGCATTTTTTTCATTTTCTTTTTTTATTTGAAGTGTACAAAGTGACATGTCATTCATGCATTGCACTGTTGTGTGGTGCCATGTGGTACCATCCAGTGTGCTGTGATAACATGCAGAAGATCTGTATTTTATTGTAGCTCACTGTACCTCCGGCCTGCGTTGCATTGTGAACAGGCACATAAACGTTTGTTTTCTATATGCCCTAAGGTGCGTAAAAACACCAGTCACTTCACTAGTGTGAATGAGCCCTACCGGAGATAAAATAGATTCAGATTGCAAGGTGTATGTGTTTATAATTGTACTATCAGATTGTACCATGCAGCCAGCTTTAGAAAGAGCTGGCAGGTCAGACTTCAGCTGAGACCCGGACAAATTTAGTTCAAGAAAGCTTCCTGCTGCTGGACTGATTTAATGACTTAACATAGAAGTAAACCTCCAAACATTTGTAAATGAATAAATGTGAAAATTGCCAATGAGTAGGCCACATGGCAATGGCGACTTGGAATCATGCATCTCTTACTCTATCCACGCACAGATTATTATTAAGGATATTCTTATTATTATTATTATTGCACTGCTTGGTTCTGATTCCAAAATGTTAGCCCACTGAAAAATAATGATAGAGTAGTAATGTTCATGCTGACAGACTGTTAATTCAGAGTGTTGGCCTTTCCATATTTAGCAGTGATGAAATATGGATTTATCAGGTTCGTGGATGCTAATGTTGCCACTCAAGCAGGTCTTCTGCTTTGATGCTCTAAGGATAAGGACTGTATAGGCCTGCTTTCAGTAGGGACAGTCAGGCTCCAGGTATAGCCTTTGAGAGGACTCCTCTCACCAACAATTGATTGTTATTTAAAGAGAATCTCACAAACTTAAACAAATTTAATTTAAAAGCACTCACTTGCTTTTAAAAGCACACACATTAAGGTTTTTTAATAACTTGCAAAGAGCCTTTGAACTTGATAGAAAAATTGATTAGTCAATTCCAGAACAGCCCCCCCCCTCCTTGCTCCTCTTTGAACCTCACTTTTTTGCACTCTGTGTTACTTATGGCTAACCCCTGCACTTTTTGTTACATAATACAGACCTCTGCACTGTGGGCTACATATTACTGATCTCTACACTACTTACTTGGACCTCTGAGAAAGTCCAGGAGGACACAATGCATCAGGTGGGTGGAGTGGCATGACGTCATCACGCCAGTCATTCATAATGTGTCATCTTGAATTTCTTGCATGTGTTTTTACTTACTGCTGTTGATTCTAGGAAAGTTTGTAAGTACAATTAATCAGTTTTACACTATGGGATTTATTTCTGATTTTTGGATGGCCATGGACCGGAGATGTGATTAACCAAGGGGTAGAAGTGAGCAGAATCTACTGGGAAGTGTCTTGCGTCATCTTGAATTTCTTGCATGTGTTTTTACTTACTGCTGTTGATTCTTTGAAAGTTTGTAAGTACAATTAATCAGTTTTACACTATGGGATTTATTTCTGATTTTTGGATGGCCATGGACTGGAGATGTGATCAATCAAAGAGTAGAAGCGAGCAGAATCTGCTGTGAAGGAATGTCCATTACATTTAAGCGTTAATTGACCACCTGTTTATATAAATAGTGGGGTCCATCCTATAAGGTGAGTGTACATCCTCAACATTGTGGTGGTGGTATTATGCACAATGCATGGAAGAATCTTATAGGCACGGTGTTCTTGGTTACTTACTACTGACCTCTGATTTCTATGTTACATACTATTAAATCCTGAACTTCGCCTTACTTATTCTTGAGCCCTGAACTCTCCTAATGTTCCTTGCTTTTTAAAATGGGCCTTGCTAATGTAACACCCTTGCAGGAATGTCAGCTGCAGGATGTTAAAACCAACACAGATGGCAGTG